TGCAACACTTTCCCAACTGGAGAGCGTTCCGTTTTTCAAAATGTGGTTCTCGCCAATGCGCCGCGCACGTTCGTCTTAAACATTGCATTCGTTGCACGGATGGAAAGCGGACAGTTTTCAAGATGTGGCTCGCGCCTCATCCCCGCACGAATTTGTCTTAAAGGTTTACAGCAGCGTCACGGATGAAAGGCGGGTGGCTCTCGACATGTGGCTCTCGCCGTAGCGCGGCGCGAATTCGTCCAAAGTGTTTGTGTTAGCATCACGGATAGAAGGCGATTCGATTTCAAACGGCGTTTCTTCTTTTAGCGCAGCGCACACTCGTCTCAACAGTTTCTGCTGGTTTTAGCTGTTCGTGCGGTTGAAGTCCTAGGAATGGTTTTCCTTCTGGTGCGACTTGAAATTGCCAGGACCCAACAGTCACGTTCATTCGCGGCGTTGAAGTCCCAGGAAAGGCGTCCTGGCATGATTTAGTACCGCCAAACCTCATAATTGGAGGGCGGTCTTTTTTAAATATATATATATATATATATATACATATATATACATGTATATACATATATATATATATATATATATATATATAATGTGGCTCTCGCCAAATGCGCCGCGCACGTTCGTCTTAAAATATTGCACCAATTGCACGGATGGAGGGCGGGCCGTTTTCAAATTGTGAATGACTCTCGCATTAGCACCGCACAAACTCGTGTTAAGAATTTGCAACAACGTCAAAAACGGAGGGCGGGTGGCTTTCAACATGTTCTTCTGATTTCGGCGCCGCGCGGACTCCGTGGTGATTCCGTTTCAAAATGTGGCTCTCGCCTTAGCGCCGCGCGCACTCGTTTTGATTGAAAGTGTTCAGCAGTTTGACGGATTCGCACGGTCGAAGTCCCAGGAATGGTGTTCCTGCAAGATTCAGGATTGTCAAGACGCAGCGGTCATTTTCATTCGTGGTGTTGAATTCCCAGGAGCGGTGCCCTGGCACGATGTAGAATTGTCAGGTCGCAACAGTCGTGTTGATTCGCAACGCTGACGTCCTAGGTGCTGTTTTCCGGCACGATCGTGGACTTTCGGACTGTTGCCTTGCGGTGGGCCATATCCCGCAGTGAAAACTCGTCGGTCCAACGGGCCAGAGGCGTGCTAAGATCTCCTGCAACAGATGCACAGTATTTCTAATTCGCGCGCGCGGGGCCGCCCCTAGAGGTCCCCGGACGAAAAATTCCCCGGCAGGTCCCTGGGCGGTCCCCCGGCGGTGCGGATCAGAGATGGTTTTCCTCCCGGGTGTGGCTTTCAGACGCCCCAGGGCGCTCCAACTGAATCCCAAGAGGCGCCCAAGACGGTCCAGGAGGGCTCCGTGTCGTCGAACGACCCCAGCCAATTCACAAACCCTGACCATGAGAGTTGACGGGAAAAAGGGACAAAGAGACACATGTAGTGAAATAGAGCGGACAACCAGGGTAACCAAAGAGATGTTTGGGAGCAAGGGGGTGAGTGGCCTTGGAGGGCCTCTTCAGGCCATCCTTGGGGCCCGCGTGGGGGCGATCGAAGGATAAGGAGGAGGAGGAGGAGGAACAGGAGGAGGAGGATGAGGAGGAGGGAGAAGACGACGACGACGACCACGACAACGAGGAAGTGGATGAAAAAGAAAAGGACGATGATGAGGGCAAGGACGAGGACGATGATGAGGAGGAAGATGAGGACCACAACGAGGAAGAGGACAGAGCCGTCAAAATCGCCTCTTGGAGCCCTCTTGTGACTCGTTTGGGGGATCGTGTGTTCCTCTTTCGGCCTCTTTTGGAGGGTCTTGGGGCCCTCTTGGGGCCCTCTTGGAGCCCTCTTGGGGGTCCCTTGGGAGCCCTGGGGGGCCTCTTGGGCCATCTTGGACGCCATCGATAAAAGGGGGGCGGTACAAATGTTCGTTCCCCCCTGGGGCCATCAAAATCACCTCTCGGGGCCCTCCTGGGGTGCTCTTGGGTCTCGGGCCCCTCTTGGGCCTCTCTTGGGCCTCTCTTGGGGCCATCTTGTGGCCAGCGGAATGCGCGAGGCCGCTTGGCACTCGAGGGAGAAAAAGGGCGCGGCCGCTTTGCACTCGAGCCCCCGCCCCAGGGGAAGGGAAGCCCCCGGCCAATGGCCTTGAACCAATTCGCTGCGGACTCCTCTTCCTCCTCCTCCTCCTCCTCCTCCTCCTCCTCCTCCTCCTCCTCCTCCTCCTCCTCCTCCTCCCCCTCCTCTTCCCCCTCCTCCTCCTCTTCCCCCTCCTCCTCTTCCTCTTCCTCCCCTTCCTCCAGCAAGCCGCTGCGCGATCACACCCACGGGGCTGGGCCATGCCTGCAAGACGCAGGTGGCGCAGGCCGGCCTCGAGCGCGCTGCGCTGGGGCCGCGGGCAACACGAGCGCTCGATCGGGGCGCGATGGGATGGTGGACGCGCGCCCCACTCACAAGCCTACAGTCGGGGCGCTGACCTAAGGAACCCTAAATTCGCCGGCCCAACGGGCCAGGGCGTGCTAAGATCTCCGGTAACTGGTTAACAGTATTAACAGTATTTCTAGTTCGCGCGCGCGGGGCGGCCCCTGGGGGTCCCCCGGCGAAAAGTACCCCGACCAACGCCCGACCGCCGCCCGACCGCCGCCCGACCAAGTCTACTCAGAGATGGTTTTCCTTCTGGGTGCGGCCTCTCAGGCTCCCCAGAGCGCGCTCAGAGTGCCCCAAGAGGCCCCCAAGACTGCCCAAGAGGCCCCCGAGACGCCCAAAGAGCGCTCGAAGACGCCGAAGATGACCCCAAGACGGCCCAAAAGGCCCCCAAGACAGCCCAAGAGGCCTCCAAGACGCCCCAAGAGCCTTCCAAGAGGCCTCCGAAGAGAGCCCCAAGAGGCCAAAATCGTTGATTTTCATTGGTTTTTTCGATGTTTTTTGTGTTCTGGCTTTTTCGGCTTCCGGACGCTCCAAGACGGCCCAAGAGGCCCCCAAGACCGCTCCAAGACGGCCCACGAGGCTCCCAAGACGGCCCCGGAACGGCCCAGGAGGGCCCCCAAGACGGCCCAAGTGCCGCCCAAGACGGACCAAGAGGCCCCAAGACGGGCCCAAGAGGGGCTCAAGAGGGGAACCGAGAACTGAAAAATCGAGCCCTCCGCCCCAGAAGGCGCCCAGGAGGCCCCAAAAAGGCCCCAAGAGGCCCCCAAGAGGCCCCCAAGACGCCCCAAGAGGCGCCCAAGAGGCCCAAAAGAGGCCCCAAAACGGCCCCCAAGAGGCCCCAAAACTCGGCTAGCCCACAACGGTGCGACAATATGGGCCGGCGGAATGAGCGAAGCGATTAAATAAGGAACGAGGCCCCTTTTCTCCCATAAGTTGGCTAGCCCACAACGGTGCGACAATATGGGCCGGCGGAATGAGCGAAGCGATTAAATAAGGAACGAGGCCCCCTTTTTCCATAACTTAAACTTCGATTTCCCATGGATTATCCCGGCAAAGCAACCTAACAGCGATGTGTAGAAGCATATCTGAAAGCATTCCCCTTAAGATTCAGATGAAAATCCAGTTGTCGAATTCTGCTGTTCTCGCAGTCGTAGTCGCATTCGCGATGACAGTCGCAGCGGCAACGGCAGTCGCAGTCACAGCCTCAGCCTCAGCCTGCCTCCTCCTCCTCCTCATCCTCTTTCTCCTGCTCCTCCTCCTCCTCCTCCTCCTCCTCCTCCTCTTCCTCCTGCTCGTCCTCGTTCTCGTCCTCCTCGTCTTGCTCGTCCTCCTCCTCCTGGTGCTCTCTCCTCCTCCTCCTCC